GGCAGGGCCCCGGGGGCTGAAGGAGGCGGCGGGATGGCGTCCCCCCGAGCGGCTCCGTGCGACGCGGGCTTGCCGCCCCGCGGCAGCCCCGGACCCTGGCACGTTTGGTCGCGGGTCAGGCTGGAGGCAGTTTCTGGAGAGGTTCGGCCGAGGGTCCCGGCGGTGTTGGTGCAGGGTCGTGCCGGGGTTGGGCTAGCAGCCTTGCGGGCGGTCCTGCAGGCCCGGCCCCGAGAGCGGTCTGCCCTCCTGCCCCGGTCTCTTCTCCGGGGTTTGACGTGGCAGCACACAGTGCTTGTGCCCCCAGTGCCAGCGAGCTCCCTGCGTGGTCCACCAAACCCTGTCCATTGGTAGTATCTCGCTGCATGATGTCCGTCTGTGGGTGCTTTACCGTCTGGGAGCTAAATAGCTTCGGAAATAAAGCTTTGCTCAACTTGTAGTCCTGAGCACCATGTTCACATCCCTCCCAGAGCCGATCTGGTGCATCTAGGTCCCTTTCCAGCTGCCAAACTCATAGGCATTGCTCAGCAGGTTCTAGTGACTCCCTTCCCAGCTAATTCGGCAACTGTCTTACGTGGAGATGCAGACAGTACTGACAGAATGTGAGGCACTTGGCTCTTGCAGCAGGAAAAAATGGCATTGCTAGTAAGTGGGTGTGTTGGTTAGTTCAGGCAGTTGGCACCGCACTAATAGGACTGCCACTGTGGGGAGCATTATATTGCCCTGGAGTCGATTGTTTGGCCTCACTCACTGAGCTTTCTGTAAAATATGTAAGAGCCTGCACTGGGAGGGAGCAATTCCTCCACAACGCAGGGCTGTGACTCTTGACAAGAAGGGAAAACAGCGCTTTGCTACTGTTAGATCTTCTCCACGGGCAGGATTGTCCCCTGCAGCTGCAGTTTAGTTTTTGTTCCTTTTAGCTGAAGGCTGGACAGCCCCCTGTGGTTTCAGCACAGCTTCCTGTCCCTGGCTACCCTGTGCAGTATGTGGCCCAGCAAGTCTAGGCTTGTTGCTTTTCTAGTCTCAGCTGCCTTGAAAGAGACCCACCCCCTTATTTAGGTGACAGCGCAGTATGTGAATGTGTTTTTCTTGGAGCTGGAAAGTTGATAGATGGTAAGAGAGGAAAACCTTCTGCAAGTACCCTTTTCTCACTGTATAGCTCTGCTGCCCGAGAGCTGAGCTGACAATTCAGAACTTCCTTCTGTTGGCCTTTTGCCACCATAAGCACTGCTGTGTTTAGGAGCTGAGCTAGAAGGCAAGGAGAGGGCTATTGCCTCTCCTGACATGCAAATAAGTGTCCAGAGAAAAGGAGTTGCTTAGTGTTGGCAGCCCCATTTAGTCTGCCAGAGTACTTGGCTTCCTGCAGGCTCCAGCCCTTTCTCAGTGGTCCTTAGACCAAATCAGTGGAAAAATTACTTCAATATTGGCTGTACGTTCTCTTTGGAAAGCTGGAGCCTGTTGTGTTTGTAGTGAGCTTGATGAGTACCCAGGCCTTTCTGTGACAACCCAGTCAGGCTCCTGCCCTTCCCGGAAAAGTTCTTCTGAGCAGGTTGTGTACAGACAGTCCCAATCAGCTCTGGTTCTCCAGAACTGCCAGGCCAGTGACCAGCCTGCTTTACTGCAAAGAAGCCATTAGCTTGCTGCTTTATGTCTGTAGTCCTTCTCTCTTGCAGAGAGAAGATATGCAAGGATGTGGAAGTCGTGGAGTCAATGAAAAACTAACTGAGGGAGGGAGGGTATCAGTGTGCAGGAGAGGAGGCAGCGACTTTTGTTCCCCGTCCCCTGTTTCTGTGCTCATTCAGTGGATGGAAGCTGGTGGATAGGGTGGGAGTGAGGTGCTGTGGGTGGCATTGTGGGTCATGGATGGGTGAGAGGGGAGACTTTTGATCATCTGCTGGCCTGTGCCTTTTTGAAACTGGAACTCTCTCTCTGTGACTGTTAGACTGGACCTATTCTTTACTGGCAGTTAAAAAAAATCCCCCCAAAACAGTATTATCCCCTGTGTCCCTCTCTAGTTTTGTCCTCTGGTTTTCATCATGTGGGATGCTAACAGCAGAAACAAACCTAAAGTAAGTTCCAGTTGTGTAGGAATGAATGGCAAAAGAGGCTGTGACCTAACACAGTATATTTCTGCCACTTTCCCTCTCTCTGAAGCCATCAGCACAAGCTGCAGAGTATCTGGGCAGCTGGTGCCTATAGAAGTCCCTGCTGGCACAGCATCTAACCTTTCTGTCTTGTTTTATTCTCTGACCAGGCAGAAGATGGGAACATCGAGTACAAGGTGAGCCTTTTGAGGTTGCAGAAGGAGGTCTTCCTCCCAGAGGGTTATTTTGCTGTAAATTCACCAAAGACAGCATATGAGGACCATGTACAAGGAAGGGACAGAAAAGTAGACGCTATACTAAGGAACTATCAGTCATCTTCTGTGTCTCTGTGCCTAGCAATACCCGGTATGTGGAGCTGGAAGAATTTGATCTCAGTACTCATTTTTAGGAATCTGTTTTAAGAGATAAGACCCACTGTGTTTTTCCTGAAATCTTCCTTTTGAGACAGAGTTGCAGGTGTCCCTGATAATAATTTGTCACTTTCTTGTGGCTGTTCTGCCATTTGCACTTACTTGGTTCCTGTGTCAGAAATAGGTCTCACAGTGTGGTCTTTACCCCCACAGCAGGCAGGGTACAGATCCCTTTGGCAAGATGCAGGAAAGTTCTTCTACCATATGTATGCACCTTTGTGAAACCCTTTCTCACCTGTCCTATGGCTTCTATGCAGACACTAACATGGGCTGTGTTTTCTAGAGGTGGGTCAGAGTTGGCGGCATTGCTTCATGGTGTTGGGTTAGGGAGTTGCTGGCTTAGGCAATGGGATTTCCTCTGCATCCAGGCTGTGACTATAACTAGCCCCTCTGTTAAACAGCTGAAGCTAGTGAATCCCTCGCAATATCGCTTTGAGCACCTGGTGACACAGATGAAGTGGCGACTACAGGAAGGCCGAGGTGAGGCTGTCTATCAGATCGGCGTGGAGGACAATGGGCTGCTTGTGGGCCTCTCAGAGGAGGAGATGCGTGCCTCGCTCAAGACACTGCGCCGTATGGCAGAGAAGTACGTGTTCCCTTTCATCTGCAGGACCCGCAGGCCTAAACAGCCTCCAGTAGAGAGGCTCGGCCCCAGGAGTCCCCTGAGGAGCCGGTGGCTCCATTCTAAAAAGCACCTGTATGACTGAAATTCCCTCATCATGAGGCTCTGGAAATACAAAGGCAGTTATAGGGCTTTTGGCTGGAAGCTTGAGGCTCCCTTCCCTGCTATCCCCAGCTTTCATCCCATTCACTTTGCCAGCTGTGATTCTAGAGGCGCAAGAGCTGCCGAGTACAAGTGTATCTCACTCTTCCTTTTCATGTTTATGGCAGGGTTGGGGCTGACATTACGGTGCTGCGGGAGAGGGAGGTCGATTACGACAGTGATGTTCCAAGGAAGATAACGGAGGTGCTTGTCCGAAAGGTGCCTGACAACCAGCAGGTAGGGATCTGCAACTTGGCCGTTCTCTCCTGGTGGAGACTTAGAGGCTTCATACAAGCAGCTCCTTTTTGGGATGGGTGCCCAAACCCTAAAGGCACTTTGTCATAGATTGGCCCATAGCAGATGCTTTAAAGAGCTGCCAGAGGGAGGCTTGATGATAATGCTTTTCATCTCCAAGATTGTGGTTGAGGCAGATAGCAGTAGAGGAGATCGCCTGGATCAGAAGTGAGAAATTATTTCAATTCTATGGCAACAGTTCTGATGCAGGCCAGTGTGCAAACAAGGAAGGATTTAGAGTTCCTGCTGGAGCAAATGATCCTTTTTGTTATATCAAAGCCTGATGTGTCACATCACAACTCTAGAGAGTGTGTCGCAACTCCTAGACAGTGGTTTGCTGGAAGCAAGAGCAGAATCTGAGCAAGATTACACCACAGAGTATCCATCATGGAGGGAAGCTCTCTGAGGCACGCCTCCACTGCCATGTAGTGTTCAGTGCACACCCAGCACAGCAGTGGTTAAATTTCATAATTTCTCTGTTGTTCTTCCTGTAGTTCTTAGACCTGCGAGTAGCTGTGCTGGGGAATGTGGACTCAGGGAAGTCAACCCTGTTGGGTGTCCTAACGCAAGGAGAGCTGGACAACGGGCGGGGCAGAGCACGCCTCAACCTCTTCCGGCACCTCCATGAAATCCAGTCAGGAAGAACGTCAAGCATCAGCTTTGAGATCCTCGGCTTCAACAGCAAAGGAGAGGTGAGAGAGTGGGCTGCTGTACTCAGAAAGCTGGGGGAGAATAGAACTACCCTCCTGTTAAGACCGTGAGTGGGGCATGAGGGAAGAGAGGGGGCACAGCTCTGTGTCCCTTTAGCCGAACCCAAGTGCTGCTTGTCCGTTTGCAACAGATGTCGTTTTTTGTACCCATGGTGAATGATCTCTCCTCATTAATTCTGAGGTCAAAGTGGATAGATAAGAACTGGGTTTTCTTCACTTGCCTGCTGGGGCTCCTTCTCTCACCAAGTCCTTATGTTCCTCAGGTGGTAAACTACAGTGACTCCCGAACAGCAGAAGAGATCTGTGAGAGTTCTTCCAAAATGATCACTTTCATTGACCTGGCTGGCCACCACAAGTATCTGAAAACAACCATCTTTGGCCTCACCAGCTACTGCCCGGACTTTGCTATGCTGGTGGTTAGTGCCAATACTGGCATTGGTGAGTGTTGCTCTGCCTGCTTGGATTGACAGCAGTGTGTGAAGAGAAATGGAGAATGGGGGAAGTGGGTCATTGTTAGCTGGGAATGGTTGTCAGAAAAAAGTATTAGTCTGGAAGCCTCCACTGATTTCTTGTAAGGCAGTGCCTATGAGTGCCTGGGAGGGGAGCAGAGCTGGGATGCTCTTAACCAGCTGTGGACTGCATTAAACTGTACCCTGGACAGAGAGGCTTTGTTTGGAATTTGAGGCTCTGTTTGTCAGAAAAAAAAAAAAACCCAACAAAAAAACCTTCGACATATTCTTAGGGGTGCTGAATCCTGAAGCCTTGTAAAAAGGCAGCTGGAGTTCTCCCACATCTTTCCTTGACATTTTTGTGGCTGTTTTCTGGCAAACTCTAGCCCAAGAATGAAAACTACTGTATCTTTCTGAAGCAAACAGATCAGTCACAGAAACTCTTGACGGTTTTTATTTTTCTGGACTGATGTTTGGTTTCGTTTAAAAGAATTATTTTGACTTTTCGTTGCGTGATGAACTAAGTAGTTAGGGTGAAATCTCTAGAGTGGGCCTGTGGAAGAGCCAGGAGACATAGCTGGCACATAAACAAGCAACAGTGATGACTGCTACTGCACCTACACTCTCATTTGTCTCCTGCAGCAGGAACAACACGAGAGCATTTGGGCTTGGCCATGGCCCTCAAGGTCCCCTTCTTCATTGTCATCAGCAAAGTTGACTTGTGTTCGAAAGCCACTGTGGAACGGACAGTGAAGCAGCTGGAGCGAATCCTGAAGCAGCCAGGCTGCAACAAGCTCCCCCTGCTTGTGAACTCAGATGATGATGCTGTTACAGCAGCACAGCAGTTTGCACAGTCTCCCAAGTAAGGGACCTTTCCTTTCTTCTGCTGGGAGCAGGCAATTCAGACTGGGCTGCTGTGCGGATCTGGGGAAGGGCAACCACAGGGGAGGTGACCACATCTTGAACATCTTGGCTCCTCATTGAGTTTCCTACCTTTGCATTCTCCAAGAAGGCATTTTCACCTCCCAGGCCTTTTTCTGGGCTCTGAGAGTAGAAGGTGCCCGAGGCTGCACTGGAGTTACTCCTCCATAACAAAAGTGTGGGTTGGCAGGGGATTGGTGCCTCGACCAACCATTGAGGCAGGGGTTATCACAGAGTTGTACCTAGCCCATGTGCCCTCCTGCTCTAGCCATTTATCGCTGTGGTCCCTGTCCTCTTGCTGGACTCGGTAGATTCAAAATCCCAGCCACCTTCTGCAGCTGCGCTCTGGCCTTCTGCTTATTCCTTTCTGTTTGTGTCTGACAGCATCACCCCAATCTTCACACTGTCTAGTGTTTCTGGGGAGAACCTGGATCTCTTGAAAGTCTTCCTTAATATCCTCCCTCCACTGACCAACAGTAAAGAGCAGGAAGAACTAATGCAGCAACTCACAGAGTTTCAGGTGCGTAAGGATAGTTTGTTTCCAGTTCTGGTACTGCACTCATTGCTGTGACATGACAAAATCTGGGGGATCTGGACACCATGGGGAGAGATGTGGTGAACTCCTGGACTATTGGGAGACGTGAAAGTAAAGAAAGGACTCAGTCCTTTAAAAAAGCCTGTTAGGCTGGGCTCTGTCCTAACCAAGGGATGCCCATCTCGGGGATAAGATTGTTTCTCTGGTTGCCACTTAAAAGGCAGAGGTTCCTCTAACGGGAAGGTAGTGGGAACTGGTGAAAGCTCTGAGATGGTGTCTGATGACCAGCAGAGAGCTCACCTCCCTCTGCACAAGGGTCAGGCTCCTTGGCCTCATTCTGGAGTGCTATTTCACAGCTGTCTGAGCAGCTTGTTCTTGTTGCTTTGCTGCAGGTTGATGAAATTTATACTGTGCCAGAGGTGGGGACTGTTGTGGGAGGAACTCTGTCGAGGTAAGTGAGGCCAGGCAGACAAGTGTGGGTGTGAATGGTTGCTGGACTTCCCACAAAGTTAGAGTCACCCACTGCGGAAGTGGAAGCAGTGCAAGGCTCAGTCCTGTCTGCTGCCAGATGACTGCACCAAGTGAGGGTAAAGCCCTAGAGGGTGTTGGGAGGTGCCATGAGCAGACTATTGATCATGTGGTGGCAAGCAGACAGTCTGCTTTAAAGTTGCCAGATTAGGAATGTGAGCTGTAGCATGCTGAAGGAAGGCATGCTGGGACCCAGAGGTGGCAGAGGTTAGCCATGATCTCAAGGTGTTGCTTTCTTCCTTCCTTAAGCAGAGAGAGGAAATGTAGAGGACAAGTCCTCTGATCCCAGCAGTGGTTAACTGCATGCGACCCCATGAGAAGGCAGCTGTCCCTCAGTGTTCGGGAGTGATCAGAACAGTTTGGCTACCAGTGCATCCACGCAGAATGGGTGTCAACTGCAGTCTCTCCAGCAGAAACAATGCAGTGTGGCAGAGCACTGGGGACAGAATGGCCCCTGTCTGTACCTGGTATTCTTTTAGGGGTGATAGTGTGGCTTTCACTCCTACTGTAGGAAATCCCTGTTCCTACCAGCTTTGCCTCCCTGTTAGTTGGTCCTGGGTAGGAGTCCAAGGACACTCACGTCCTTGGCCTTGGGGAGTTTGTTTAGGTTGATCTTGGAGGGTGAAATTTCTTTGTTCTCTCCTGATGAACTCTGTCCTGCTCTTCTGCCCTGGGCAGTGGGATCTGCCGAGAAGGGGAAAACCTGGTGGTCGGTCCCACTGATGACGGGAAGTTCCTCCGGCTGAAAGTGTGCAGTATCCAACGCAACCGCTCTGCCTGCCGCGTACTGCGGGCTGGGCAGGCAGCCACGCTGGCCCTCGGACCCTTCGACCGCTCCCTGCTGCGCAAGGTGAGTCCTGCTGTTGCCAGGTTGATCACTGGTCCAGTGAGCAGGACTGAGGCTTCCCTGGAGATCCCCCATTGGTAGGGTGGGAATGAAGTAGGGATGTTTACAGGCAACTTGCTGGAAGGGGAGAAGACGGCCAGGCTATGAAGTAGGATGACTACAAGGCTGAGAATGGGATGCAAGCCCAGTCGGAGAGTGGAGATGTGTTTGTGATTTTGGTGGCTGTTCAGAAGCAAGGGGACTGGCCCTAACTGGTCTGAGCTTTGGGTTGTTGTGCAGGGCATGGTCATGGTGAGCCCAGAAATGAACCCCACCATCTGCTCAGTATTTGAAGCCGAGATCGTGCTGTTGTTCCATGCCACGACTTTCCGGAAGGGCTTTCAGGTGACGGTGCACGTGGGGAATGTGCGACAGACTGCTATTGTAGAGAAGATCCATGGAAAGGTAGGCATGGGAGGGAAGGGGAGGAAGATGGACCTCCCTGTGGGGTTTGCTGGGATTCCACCATGTCCTCTGGTAAAGCTAGGGCCTACTGGTATCTTGAGTAGCTGAGTGCCTTCCTAGGAGCACACTCCATCCCTTTATCCTGCCCATTTGGTTGCTTTTCCTCCCAACATGTTAAAGAATTCCCTCCTCACGAAACAAGCTGCGTGATGGACTACAGCAAGACTGTGAAGGGAGGTGAACTCTCCATTCTCCAGAGCCTGTGTCTTCCTGTCTCGCCTTATGCATACAATAATGGGAAGGGCTCAAGCCATGCAGTCTGAGGGAGGCAACCTGCTCATTTGCCTCAACTTCTTAGCATCCACATGCACCTCTCGGGCATGCATTGGTATGGTAGCTGGGTCTAAGCTCTCCCCTTTTTCTTTTCAGGACAAGCTGCGGACAGGAGAGAAGGCAGTCGTCTGTTTCAGGTTCATCAAGCATCCTGAATACTTGAAGATCGGAGCCAAGCTGCTTTTCCGTGAAGGAGTCACCAAAGGCATTGGGCATGTCACTGACCTCCAAGCCATCATCACCAAAGAAAACGGCCTGGAGGAGTCCCTGGGGCCTGGACAGCTGAGCTTCTGACTACCACTAAGTCAGAGAGATCTCCACTCACCACCACCTGGGGAAAAGGATGGAAGCTTCTGTGGCTCTCTGAGTGATGCCTGGAGCTGCTGCTGTCCCATTCTAGCATGGGTGTCCCTCCTCCGCACTGTGAGATGGAGCCTCGGAGAGCTTCTCGCATTCAGTGCCGTACATGGGGCAAGTTAAGCATGTTCTCCACATTGCCTGCAGCTTTTGTTACCCTGTCCTCCTTCAGAATAGATCAGAGGCACCTGCAGACCTGGGCAGGCAAGTTCTGGCTTTGTTTACTGTTAGAAAATTACTGGTTGGGAGGAGGAGAACCCTTGAAGACTAGCAGTGAAGGGATGTTTTTCCATCCCTCACACAAGATCTGGTCCCATTTCTGCTCTCTGAGCACTAGGTTGATAACAGTCCTCTCGAGTCATCCTGCAGCACATCCCTCTGGGCAGGGGATGGAAGAGGCCCTGCTACCCACAGCAAGGACTTGGTTGAACTTCTCAAAACACATTCAGGACACTTTTTAACCGTTTTAATCTTGGTTAGCTTTAATCTGCTGTGTGTCCATTTGTGTGTTGGTTTTGCATTACTCCAGTCTGAGTGTCTTACTGTTGGACAAGTGTCCTGTTCCCCACTCACATGTACACACCTTCAGCATCCCGCTTTCCGACTCCCGGGAAGCTGTGGCTGCTCCGAGTGGCACAGCTTCCCGATGTAATGGTGTGAAGGCAAGGCAGAGTTGGCATTTGCATCTGTTCCTTGCAGCAGCTGGGCAGGAGGCCATTCTGTGGAGCAGAGTGGGGCCTGGGCCTGTGCTGGCATGTGCAGGTTGTTTCTGTGGATGTTCAGCTGCAGGTGTCACCTGCATGTCTGCAGCAGTGGTTTGCAGTGGGCTACCTGGTGTGGCTATTCCAGGGCCTGGCCCAGCTTACTCCTCATATGCTTGCCTTAATGTGTGAGGAGGACAGGCTGTGTTACTAACACAGAACCAGGTGACTTCTATTGTTTAGATGTGATTTGACAGTAGTGTGATTTGATTTCTGTTTCTCCTCAAGAAAGACTTCTTTTCTTTCCCTTGCCACTGGGGTTTGTTGTCAGAGGAAAGTTGGTGCTGCCAGCAAGGACTCTGTGCACAAGAGTGGAGCACATTTGTCCCCCACTCGCTGTTGTGCAGCTCCCCTGTGTGACTGTTACTCTGGGCCACTCGTAGCTTGGAGGGTGCAGCAGGGGCTGTATAGCTGTACATAGGCTTTTGATTTTCTTGTTGACTGTTAGACCAAATGTGTCAGCTGTGAGCAACAGGCCTTCAGCCAGCCCTGTCACATGGCATGGTGGCCTGCCAGCCCTGACTGAAGGGAATGGCGAGAGCCTGTGATGGCACTTGGACACCCCAACAGCCCTTCTACCATCCTGAGAGCAAGTTCTGCTTCTGGGCTGCTGGCACAGGCAGTGCCTGTGGGGCTGAGCAGCCCATGCTGATCTGTAGATGTCGCAAAGCAGCGCTCTCCACTGGGCTGGGCTCTAACAGATGGGGAGGTGGCAGCTGCACCCTGCAAAGAGCATGCTGAGGTGCGTGGAAGCCGGTGGAATGGTAGTATACATGGAGGGATTCAGAGGCAGCTCAGTAGTGATGGGAGTGACCTGTTCCTTGGGGGGAGCACTGACCCAGGTGAAAACTCTGCTTCTTTCCCATCAGCCCAGCAGTATGACAGGAATTGCTGGCTCAAGGTCTCTGCTCAAGCAGAATCCCTCTTTCTTCCCATCCTGGCAGTGCTCTGGTGTTACAGTGACATGGTCTTTCACCCATGCCTGCAAGGAAAGGCCCCAGCTGCCAGCAGGCTCTTCCCTTTGGTGCTAGTGGGTCACAAAGAAAGCTGCCTGGGGGGCTGTACCCCAGCTGTTTGCAGCAGCCCTGGTGTTTTCTGCCCCAAAGCAGGCATGGGGTGCTGTGACCTCCTCTGAAGTAGCTGATGGCTAGTCTCACCTTATCCCTGCCATCTGTGGCATGACTGTTCTTGGTGCCATGCTCTTCATAATTGCTGTTTTGTTGTCTTGAATTTTTCTAATGCTGGGGGTTGTCCCTGTTCCCCAAGCATCTATATATAAATGTACAGAATAAAGATGTTTTATTGAGCTTGCTGGCTGAGTTGTACAATAAGTGAGGGTGGAGCTGGGCTCTTGCCGTGCTGCCCTTGGAGCTGGGTCACGGTTAGAGATGGCTGCCCTTCACCCCTTCCTAAGCTTCCTGCATTCAGACCTATAAATACCATCCTGTGGCATGGAAGGAATGCACGCACACTGCTGTTTACAACCGTGCTCTCCTGGCTTATCTGAGCAAGCCTGGGTGTGCAGCCTGGGGTGACAGGCAGCCACGTCACTCTGAGCACAGCACTTCGGGCTGTTGTGGGTGGAACAAGCTGTGGTGAGTGCTTCCTTGCAGTCACAAATTCCCTCAGAGCCTAATTAAAGGGATGCTTTCTAGGGCACACATCTTAACTTGTGATTTGTTTTTGAAATAGCTTCGATCTTGAGGGGTTTGTGACTAACTTCTCTCCATGAGAAAAGGTTGTTCTCTTGGGACAAACAGAGGCAGAAAGGCTTCCCTGTGGAGGTGACCTGTGTCAGTGAAGGGATTTGCCTATTCTCAACTTGTTTTGTGTCAGGTAGTAGCATCTGCAGAGTCTGGTCCTGCCAGACACTTAGGAAATGAGATGTGCCACTGTCACAGGAGCATGAGGCAACCCTGCCAGACTCGTTGCTATTTCTCTTTACGTGAGGACTTTGGGCAACTTGTCGCTTTGCAGTGTGAGGACTGTCATTAATGGGAGTAACTCTGTAATTCCTTCCTCTGCTGATTACCAGCAGAGCTGCACGCACCAGAATGAACTTCTTGTGCTTCCTGAAATCTCTCAACAACTTTGTCAAGTGTTAGACCCCCAATGACAGTAACATAGCAGCTTCGCAGCACAGGCTGTCTGCTGGAAGGAGAGCAGCTCAACAGCTGCAAGTAGGATGATACAGTTCAGAAAAGAAGGGGAAACAGTACATGCAAATACAGCTGCACTTTGCATCATTATCTGCTGCCTGAAAGGCGCTCTCTCCCCCTGCTGAGGGAGGGGAAGCCTGCAGCTGATGAAACTGCTAAGTGTGTTTCCAAACCCCACCCAGTGCTGCCTTGACGTGGCACGTTCCTTCCCCCTGCCCTAAGAGCTGAGTTCAAATTATTGGCAGCAGCACTTTTGGGAGAAGCCAGCAGGCTCCAGGCAGCTAGTGGTGTAGCATGCAGATGAGCCTTGCTGGGCAGCTGAGGGCAAGCACATCTCTTGCCCTGGAGCTGTTCTCACCCTCTCTTAGTGCTTGCTAGTCCCCTCGATGATATTCTGCTTTGTTGGCTCTGTTGTAATTTGTGGAGCATGGGGGCAGCCACTCTGATGTGAACTGTGGCCCAGAGAGCTGAACAAGTCATTCAGCAGAGCATGATCAAAATACATACCTGTCATCAGGTTGCATGTAATATCACCCAGAGTCTGGGGAGGAAGTAAAATGGGGTTATACACTCTTTCTGCAATGGAGGAAAGCTTTCACAGAGGGCTGTGTGACTCTGGCATGTTTCCCATCCCTGCCATGAGGAGTCTAGCAGAAGACTGTTTATGTGTCAATAGCAATTATCAGGAACCAGTGCTGAGATTTCAAAAAGCCCAGCAAAAAAGTATGCCCATGCAGCTCCAGCTTCCTCAACTCTTAGACAGGAGCAGTCTCTCTTGTGCACTCCAGAGCTGGTGATAAGCATCACACAATGGACTGCTACACAGAGGGAATTGCCAAACTGTCTATAACAAAAATCTTGAGGGGGGGGGTGTGTGTAGAATAAAAATCAGTGTCTTCCAGGTGGAGAGGACCCACAGGGCTAAGCTACCATATGTAAGTTATACAGTAAGGGTAAAGCCTGCAACTGCAGCTAGAGGAGAACCACCATGAGGTGAAGGCTTCATACTAAGTGACTGGATAGGGGTTCAAGCCTAGGCTTGGCTGATGATGCCCTGGGATAAGCCACTGTGCTTACAGTGTCTGCTTTCACAGTAGGAAAAGAAAGCTGAGCAGTGATGCTATGGAAGTAGCCATGGCAGAAGTGGAGGCAAGTACAATGCAGCTTCTGGTAGCACCAAGCAGGCAGAGGCAAAAGCTAGCTGCCACCAGCTAAACTGGGTACATCCAGCATCATATGCAATTCAGGAGTTCCAGTTCCTGTTAGACTTGGGGTAGAGATAATTTATTAAACTTTTCTGCATTAAAACCTGACAGACAGTATAAAAACTTTTAACTGTATTTAAAAACACTGATTCTCTAAAAACTCCCAGTATGGCTGGGAGTTAAGGAGGTAAGCGCTTAAAGAAAAAATCTAAAGTTCTTGTCGCACCTTCTCTGGGTCGTTTTGCACTAGATCCTGCTGGAGTCTTGGGCTTGTTCTTTGCCTTGGCAGGAGACCTGGAAGCTGCAGCCTTTGGGCTGGGAGCTGCTGCTGGAGCCATGGGAGCACTGGGCTCCAGGAAGGAGCTTTGCAGCTCCAGAGCAAAGTGATAGTCCATGTGCTCTGGGAACTCCCACACCAGCACAAGCTGGCCACACTTCTCACAGCACTGGTGGTCCCCCGGTGAGGCAGGAGGGAGTGGGGTGAGCTCAGGAGAGGGTGGCAAATTCTGCTCATTTCCCTCCACAGCTGGCTCTAATTTCAGAAGGGTCCTGGAGCTGGGTGGAGTTGAGGGTGTTTGTACAGCATCAGACAGCAACTTCTCACAGGGAAGCATCTTGTAAGGAGAAGTAGGGCTCCCATCTCCAGGACTCTGTTTCATAGGGGACTCCAGGTCACACTGCACCGAGGCAAGTCCAATGTCATCTCTCTCTTGGTCCTTTGCAGAGCTAGGCACAGGTGACTCAGCAATGGTAGCGGCAGGCAGGCTGGTTGTTGCCACCATCTGTGACTGCTGCCTTTCTGCTGCCTTTTGGAAGAACGACTCAATAGCATTAGCTGGCTTCTGCCTAAACTCTTTGCTTGGGCTCCTAAAGAACTTGACCCTGGGCCTCCTAGAAGACATGTTTTGGCTGGCAGTGCCATCAGGCTGGGTATCACTCGTCAGGAAGGTGGCAATGCCTGCAGAGCCTGTAGCAGGCTCTGAGAACTTGCTTGCCGAGAGAAGCACAGATATGAGCGGTGGAGACCTGCAAAGGACAGACCAACATCAGCTCAGACACCAGCCTGGGAAGCAAGAAGTCTCTTGAGGTAAGACTTTAAGTAACATAAAATGTTCACAGCCAGGAGACAGGGGAACTGCACTCTGGGTATCTGGCAAGGGGTGGTAGAGATGTTTCTTCTGACAAAATGTTAGTATTGCTACCTCCAGAACAGAGTCTCACAGGCATAGCAGGCTGTGTTGGGCAGAGCAGAAAGCCTCTTCCCAGAACAGCATTTCCCAAAGGAAAGGGCACTGGAGCAGGGACATCCAGCTGCCAGCCTGGAATTTCAGTGCACCACAGGCCAGAGCTGCCGTGAGACTCCCAGGCAAGATGAGAGCAGCAGCCTTGTCGAAGCCAAATGGGACCTTCTTGCCTTAACTATGCCTCTGCTTTCTCCTTTCCTCCTGCTCTGCAGTGAAGGCTGTGTTGAATACAGGAGCTGCACACCTTAGTTTTCCTTCCTGCCCCAACAGCCTCCTCCCAAAAAGCACCTTTGTCCTTAGGGGAGGGGAGCAAGGCCTAGCTAGCTTCTCCAGCCCAGCAGGCAAGGACTGCCTCACTCCAGCTGGACACCACCCTGCCAGTAGCAAGCATCAGCTCCAAGTACAGAAGTCAGAAGTGTTTTGCCAGATGTGGGGCTAGGAAGAGGCCAGGCTCTCACAGCTGTCCTACCACTAACAAGCAGAGGTCACTGCGCTCTGCTGTGTGTGCACTGAGGATCACTTTTCCTGCCAGTCGGCATAACATTCTCATTCCTTTCTGTCAGGTCCCTGGCTCATCCTGCACCTCCTGCAGCAGAACAACCCCTGACAGAGACACAAACCACCTCCTCCCACACTCACCAGGCCGCCTGGTGAGCCCCAGCCATGTTGCAGTTTTGGATGAGGGTAAAGGCATCGTTGCACATTTTCTGGGCATCATAGCGGGACAGCGCGCAAAAGCGTGACACCCGGGTGTCTCCCTGCATGCGGATGACCACCATCAGCTGCTTGGCCACTCGGTGGTTCTGCAGAGAGAAGAGGTAGCTGTGTTTCAAGCGACACCTGCAGGAAAAAGCAGGAAAGGCCGAGGAGACCATCCGGCTGCCCAGAACCCCGTACTATCAGCTACCACCTCCCGATGATGGCAGCTTGTCCTGCCTGGCCTGATCTCCAAGGGATGAGATACAGGACAGCAAGTGCTTGTACAGCTGTGCCACATAGGATGGGAAGCAGTTACTCCTTGCTTTCCTTCAAAGGCAGCTGCACACCTTTTCTTGGCACCCCCTACAGGGATGAAGCTAGCCAATTAATCTCACCTTGGCCTGCAGTCTACCATCTGGATTTGAGCGTATTGCTTCCTCTTACAGCCCACAGCACAGGCAGAGCTGCATCAGCAAAGGGCTTGCAAGGGAGCAGCAGTACAGCAGGAGGAAGGTGCAGTGGGGCTCAGGTCCCTGCATCCTAAAGCATGGGACAAGGACCATTCTTAGTCCTGCAGTGTTCTGGGGCAAAACCATCCTTCCTGACTGGGGTCCTGCATGCCTTTTTGTTTGGGACACCTCAGCACACAGGCACACATCTGAGGACGAGCAGATTTCCTCCCCCACCGCACACCACCCTCAGCCTCCTGCAAACAGCTCACAGTGCAAACGTGCTGCGTGGCTTCCTGAAGGCCAGCAGGGAGAATGCTGTCCCCATGCCTCTCCTCCTTACCTGGCTCCTGTCCTTGGTCAGTCTAGATTCCAGCTCCAAGGCCAGCTGCAGGAGCCAGTGTTGCACCTGGACAAAAAAGTGGTAACAGACAGGTTGGGCCTCTGCTCACAGCACTGCCACCAGGCCAGAGCAACACTCCGCACACTGGGGAATGCCGAAGGGACATCAGACTGGAATGGATGCGGACCATCACGAGGCCCCATGGCTGGAGTACTCCTGGAGAAATTAGCCCAGGTGAGGATTATACACTGGAGGCAAGGTATTGTAGATACCATAGAAGTCCTGCAGCATTACTACTAGACTTTGCCAAGTAGTCTGGGTCCCCTGCCCTGGATCTCTCTTCGTGTCTCCCTACAGCTCTGTGGGAACCACTCCCCAGCTAACAGGTAAGGTGCATCCTCCCTCTTTCTTTGGGCTATTTACCTTCTTTCTAGCAACCAAGCCCTTGAAGCTTGGCACTGTGAATACCTTTTAACAGCACAGACCCACAGTCTTGCTCGTGACAATTACAATAAGGTTGGACCTCTTTTTGCAGGAGTTCATCAATGCATGTCTGTCAAACAGGGATACCCCTGATTTCTGGGGCCCAAACCACCTCTTCCCACTGTACCCCTAGGCTGAGTTTCAGGGCACTGTGACACAGAAAAGCAGTAGTTCTGCAAGCTAGTCTCAGCTTTTAGAGTTCTCATCTCCAGTGCAAAGACCAAGCCTTGTGCTAGATGTAGGCTTCTCCCACCTCCTTCTGTGTGGCCAGGGCTGTCTTCCCAGGGAAGTTCTTGCTGCAGCCAATGGACTGGGGCAGGTACCGGTTTTTGACAGGTTCGTCTTCAATTCCTCTGCACAAGTCATAGAGCCAGGACCTGAAAGCCACAGAGGAATCATGACGTAAGGCAGCAACAGACAGGCAGGCATCACTGGGCAGCAAGCCAGCCTTCCGCTGAGCCATGCTTTCAGCTCTGTGCAAGCTGTGACTCTGCCTCTCATCCCCAGCTCTGCAGTTGCAGCCACAGCTGAACAGGCAGACTTCCTTCAGGCCACAACTGCCTGTCAGCGCAACTCCTCTGCCTCTTTTCCTGAAGTGGCAGCAGTTCACCAGTCTGCACGGCACCCTAGCCACTGCTCTGGGCCCAGAAGTGGTGTTTCAGGCTCCAGTCCAGCCTTGTAATTTTCTCTGTAATGAGACTGTCAAGCCTGCCTGCTTCCCAGCTTGCAGGGAGCCCTTCCACAGCTTGGCCCCATCCTTAGGCGCTGTAGAGGAAGGCAGAGAAGCTAGCTGACAGGCAAAACATTATCCTGGGGAGGGTGCCTGGGAGCAGGCAAGACTGGAAACCTGTTTGTGGGCCTGCCAGACCAATGCTTCTCAAAGATGTCACTGAAGTTTTACCTTCCAACCTTCCTAATCACAGCAGAACCACCTGTGACTGAAAGGAAGTCTCAGTTCCTGCCAAGAGGCAAGTTGTGGTGAGTGGGTTATTACCCAGTTTTGTCTCCAAAGTGAGTCTGGAGCTCTATCTCACTGAACTGTGTCAGCTGCCCGATGTACTCTACTCCCAGGACATCTGTGATGGCAGTGCCAAGTTTGCCTCCCAGGTTACGGCTACAGCAGAGAAAGAAAAAGAGAAAGAGAAAACACAAATGAAGCATCATGTGGAGACTATGCCAAGTCTTCTTGCAGCAGCTATCCCTAGATCAGGACAGCTAGAAGCAGTCAGGAACTAGCAGGAAAAAAGGGAACACTTGGTACATAACAGCTTTTTTGCTCATAACAGGACATGTAAGAGTTGAAGTGGGAACTTCTCCTTGGCTTGCCCAGTTTCAGTGCTTCTCCCTCTGCTCCATCTTCAAAACGTGGTCCCAAACCATGCTCTGAAGAATGCCTCACACACTGCCTGCTTCCTCCTACCCTTCCACACAACTCCCCCTCCATCCCTAGTGAGACCCTGAAAGCAGAGAACAGCAGTGCAGGTCTGGAGAGCAGGACCAGGGATCCATTCCTCTGGAGCAGCAGTGCTGGTAACTTTTCCCTACACCAGGAAAAGTACTTGCATGTAGTGTGGATGCTCAAAACCAAACTACATCTGTTCTCTGGGAGCACAGCTCTGTCACTTACACTGGAGCACAGCTATGGCCTCCTTTCCCACAGTTTCTCCTGGCTTACACCTATACACCCCAGCAGTCATCTTCAGCACAGCTCTACCCAGGGAAAGGCTGCCCACAGGATGCTAGTGGGCTCTTTGA